ATTATATTAATTATTATATTCTATTTCTATATTTTACAACTCCATGTAAATCTACAATTACATAAAATATAAAGGGTTTCATTTCAACAAACTCTAAAGCCAATCATTTCTCCCAATACACTTTCAAGAAAACTTGAGTTATTGGTCTTAGCTTACAAATCCCATGGTCAATAAGCCTGTCTTTACTCTGTTCTTTATTTCCTCTGTTCTTGGGGACGGACTTTCCCTGTGTTTCTTCATGGTCGACTCTACAGCTCAAGGTTTTTGCATTATCTTCCCGTGAAGAAGGCTCTTTCTTCTAACTCTGTATCATCTCCTTCCCCTGACTCTCCACAGTAGCCCCTACGCCCTTCTCAGTGGCATCACCCTTTTCATTTTAATTGTACTCACTATTTTTCTTATTGTTTATTGCTTTAGTTTTGGTCACCATCACTACCACCACTCCAAGCAGAATATAAATTTCATGGGAGAGATTTCTTCTCCATTATTGCTCCACCTGGCACAAAACAGACCCTCACTAAATTTTTGTTGTTGCTAATTGCCACGGAGTCCGCCTCCACTCAAGGGAAGCTTATACACAACAGAATGAAGTGTCCCGTCCTGTGTCATCTTCATGTACTGCTGTGTTTGAGCCCTATTGTGGTGGCCACTACGTCATTCCACATTCTCTTCTGAATACAGTTTGGATTTCTAGCCATTAACCAGGAATGGACGGTTGTCACCCCTTTTGAATTCTCCTCAGCGGAATTTGTCTGTATTGTTCTGTAACTTCCACATTCTGTTGGATCACTTTCACTGGAATGGGCCAAACATCGATTTCTTTCATTCAGTTTGTATAGCAATAAATGCCTTCCAAATTTCTTGACATAAATGAGTGAGCACTTTCAGTGAAAACATCATCATTGATACTCCATTCATTTCTAGAGTCTTATTTTTCTTTAATGTCTTCCATCTACCTTGGCTTCTTCCTTCAATAGTATCAATTTCTGATCATATGCTAACTCCTGAAATGACTGACTGTCAACCAATTCTCTTTTTTTGGTATAGTGACTCTTCTATTAGTTCCAAAATCTTTTGATGTTGCTGCCATTCAATATTTTGCCCACAGAACCCTTCAATTTCTCAGGCCTGAAAGTATAAGTTGTGTGATTTTTCTAAGCTTCACTTACCTTCTCACAAAGTAAGGGTCATTTTACTGCTTGCTTTTGCATTAAGTGAATGCTTTCTAATCTCTTTTATAATTTTTTTTCTCTATTTTTTAAAGTCTTTTAAATGTTACCATATCAATCTTAACTTGCCAGAATCCTCTTCAGATTATTATTAGTGTAATTCCAGTGACACATGAAAACATTATTCCTATAGAGTTTTAATCTCTTTTTCTTCCTTTGCTAGTATTCTTATTAGAAATATTACATCTGTTAATGTTACAAGCCTAACAATATATTCCTATAACCACTCATTTACCATATGCTTAAGATGGCACAGGACAGGACAGGGTTCGGGTCTGTTGTACATAGGGTTGCTATGAGTTGTACTTGACTCGATGACACCTAACAATAGGACACTGGGTGGAGTTGTGTGGCTAGTCCAAAAACAGCTGGTTTGGATCCACCAGCTGCTATGTGAGAGGAAGACTGGCAACCTTCCATGCAATTTCTAGCCTCTGAAACCCCAGAGTCAGCCATGAATTGGTTCTGACTTGACAGCCAGGAGTTTGGGGAGTCTTTTCCTAAAGAGCGTTAATGGCTTTGTCCATAGGAAGTTGCAATGCTAACTAAAAGGTCATACATGCTACTCTAGCAGTTCAAAGCCACCAGCTGCTCTGAGGGAAAAATAGGGGCAATCTCCTCCTGTGTGATTTACAACTTTGAAAACTCAGTGGAGAAAAGTCTTTGAGGCAGAGGCCTGGGGCTGAGCAGTTAGGGATGGAGCAGAAGGAACGGTCTATACCTGGATCAAAGGCCTACAGGTGGAGGCAGGCCGGTGAGGTGAGTGGGGGCGTGATCTCAGAAGCCCTAAGAACTGCTAGGCCTTCGTTTGACAGCTCTTTTTTGGAGGTAAGTGAAGGGGTGTCGAGCCAGTGATAAACTGTGGTCCAGGGCAGGACTGCTAAGAGAGGCAGGCTCGAGGCAGGTTTGGATTTCCACCATCATTATTCACCCCTGTTCTCGCCTGGAGCCCCAAAGCAGGCCCCAAGGAAACCTGTTGAGCCCCACCTGCCCCCCTTTCCTCTGCCCCAACTAATTAGCTCTGAAATCCTTTCCCATCTAACACCCGACTGGATTACGGGGTCTTGTCATGTGGGGTGTACATCCCTTTCATCTTTGCACACATACGTATCACACAGGAAGGGCTTAATAAATGCACATTCAACTCTGTCTCCGAGTGTCCGCTCGTGGGGTTGGATCCATCCACGGGAAAAGAAAGGAAGGGCAGAGTGGACCAGCCCCACAGCCTTTACCTCACAAGGTTGGTGCAGGGCCCGGGCCACCGGCAGCTCTGGTACACACGCTGGACCACCGTCTCTGAGCCATTCTGCACCTGGCAGGACACAGTCCGTGTCACTGTGTGATGGCACCAGTGTCTGTGGGGAGAGGAACAGTCACGTCAGTTCTGTCTCAAGAGGCAGCGACAGCAGGTCAGAAGACTGTGTTGGCGGAGGGAACTTTTGCAAACGTGAGGCCTCATTGTTTTAGGCAAAGGGCCCACTGTCTTTGCTTCTGAACAAAAGAGCACCTACACCCCCTGGTTAACAAGGTTAAGCATCACTACGGCTTCTCAGTCAGTCACCGAATACATCTCTAGGAATTTGTGAAAAAAACTCCCTTGCCCACTGGAAAACCCCACTCTGATGAGGAAGACGGACCCAAAAGAATACAAGTGAATGAGTACAACCTGTGGGAAGCACATGGTGTTGTGTGATAGAGAAGCTTCCACCCCACAACTCAGCCATTTCAACCAGCTGTTACTGAACGGTGATCAAAAGGAAAGCAGCACAAAGGAGCCCTGGTGGCCTAGCAGAAAGAAGCAAGCCCAGAGGTCTGTGGTTCAAATCCACCAGATGCTCTGCTGGTGAAGGAGGGGCAATCTCCTCCTGTACTAAAAATAATAAAATAAAATTTTGAATTTTTTTTTAAAGTATGGCAGCATTAAGAGGAAACAGCATTAGCAGAGATGGGAACAGAGCACATTAAGGCACGGAGGTCAAAGAGATCCTGGCACATCCAGGGACCCACGTGCTATTAGACGTGACTAGAAGGCTGGAGGAAGGAGGTGAGCCAGAGAGAAGCATTAGCTGTCAGGCTAGAGGTGAGTTGTTTTGTGAAGTCAGTGGGGAGCCACTGAAGGATTTCAAGTAGGAAGTGACTCAGTCAGAACAGCCCTTCTCTGGCTGCACAGGACAGAAGTGCTGGGGGGGCAGCCAGAGACGTGAGACTCAGAGAAGGTGCAGGAAGATCTGGGCTTGAGTAGTGAGCGCAGAGGGCGAGGGGCACACGCACACAACCTCCACAGGGTAAGTGCACCAAGAAAAAAAGCTCACTTTTTTGCCTCCCCCACATATCCTCTTTCCCTAGAAATAAAAATCTAAAGCTTCCCCAACAGTACTGGAAAACAAGAAGATGCTGTGGCATCTGAGAGCCAGAAAGCAGATGGGATTAACTTGAAGGGGGAAACAGTATGAACTGGCAGGGGAGAAGATCCAAGAAACAGCGGGAGCAGCTTAGAAGCAGTGATTGTGACTAAGAGGGCATGAGAGGGACCCGGGGTGACTACCGAGGGCTCAGTTAGAGAACCGTAGTAGAAGGATCAGGACCCACCCCTGCTGGGGTCAGGATCCAAGCATGGGGCCACCGCACTGAGGCAGGTGTGGTAACAGTGGGCGCCTGGCCGGAAAGCTGGGAATGTCTTAAAAGCTGGTGACTTCCAAGAGGAGCGGGGACCCTCCCAAGGCAAGACACTAAACCTCTGCCCACTTTCCCGGTTTCTCACATGCACCACCTGGGACAGATAGCACTGTGTGTCAGCGTGGTGGCCTGTGATTCTCTGGTCTGACGGCTGTAGTGTGGCTACTCCCTGAGGAATGAGGTTCAATGTTGTGTAATCATTTCTTCGATGGGCCTTGCTATGAGCAGACAATCAATTGAGGGGGTTGTTTCATCAAAGGCGTGGCCTGTACTCAGCATATAAGGAAGTCTGGCGGAGCTCACTTTTTGCTCCATCTCAACCTTGGATCTGGTCTCCTTCTCTCTGGTTCCTGTCTTACCTACAGACCCTGGATTCATCAGTCTCACGGCTACATGCCATGGCCATGGACCTGGGACTTGTTAGTCTACAAGCACAAGAGTCATTTCCTTTACGACACGCCCAGCATTCCATCTGTTTGTTGAAACATCTCGGTTGGTCGCCCAGCAATTCCTGATGCTTTTGTTTCCACCAATTCCTTCAAAGCAGCGTCAGTTCTTCCTTCAGTACTTTTGATTCTGACTTACGTAACTCTCTGTGCGTCCCTTTCCTCTTCTTTTGATGTTGCCTGCGTCATTCCATTTTTCTACTCACAGAATCCTTCGTTATTGCAACTTGAGACTTGATTTTTCTTTTTCTCCAGTTCTTACCTTTTGGTTTCCTAACTGTAGGTCTTTATCTATTTCATTATAACCCTTCTGTCTCTTTGAGCTGCCCAATGAAATCTGTTCCACGCTTTTGTTTCATCATCTCTTCCTTTTTTACTTTCATTTCTCTTCATTTAAGGGTAAGTTTCATTTCAGAGTCTCTTCTGACATCTGTGTCAGTCTTTTCCTTCTTTCCCGCCTCTTTAAAGACGTCCTTCCCACAGCTTGTCTGGTCTCCAGCCATTAGAGTTTAATATATCAAATCTATTCTTGAGATGGTCCCTAAATTCAGATGGGAGATACTCATAGTTGGCTTTCAAGAACTTGTTTGCATTTTATTCCACTTCAACTTGAGCTTGTAGATGAGCAATTGATAGTTCCACAGTCAGACCTTGGCCTTGTTCTGACTGATGACGCTGGTGAGGGTTTCCACTGGCTCGTTCCACAGATGTAGTCAATTTGATTTCTGTGCATTCCATCTGATGAGGTCATCGTTTGTGTTGTTGAAAAGAGTATTTCCAATGAGTAAGTCATTGGTCTCACAAAATTCCAGCAGAAGGTCTCCCGTGTCGTTTCTATCACCAAGACTTATTTTCCAACTACTGAATCGTCTTCTAAATTTGCAACACTCACTTTTCAATCACCACTAATTATCTATGTGTCCTAATCAGATGCTTAATCAATTTCAGACTGTAGAAGCTGGTAGAAATCTTCAGTTTCCTCACCATTATTCGTGGTTGGAGCATAAGCATAATTTATAGTCCTATTAACTGCTCCTCTTTATCTGTCTCTCTCGCTCATTGCTGTTGAGTTAGGTCAAATTCGTAGCTGACCTTTTAGCAAGGCTGTAAATCAGCAGAGGACATTGTCCCTCTTTCGTCTGTTAAGTGACTGGAAGATTCGAACTGCCAGAGCTGGAGGTCTTTGTGTGAGCCGTGCAGCTCTCTACGCCACTGGAACTCCCTGTTCTTCATGTTATTGTTGACTGTCTCATACCTGACCCTCCTAGAGAGTAGCCTGTGGATCTGAACCACATGCCTTTGGGATTGCAGCGCAGCTTCTCACCACTAAGCCCCCAGAGCTTCCTACTCTTCCTTATGTTGTTGTTGGTTGTTGTTGTTGTGTGTGTACCACCCAGTCAGAACCAACTCACAGCTGACCCTCCAGTGGGCTTACAGGGGCAGTTAATCTCACGGCAGGAGACTGCCCATCCTTCCCCCATGGAGCAGCTTGTGGGATTCAAACAGAACAGTGTTGGGCTTCAGAATAAACCTTATCGTTGTTTAACTGTACCTGATTCATAGCTGACTCGCCATTGGTTTTCAAAGGCTGTAAATCACATGGGAGGAGTTCTTCTTCCCAAGAAGCCCCGCATAGATAGGAACCCTCAGAGAGGTGCTACCTTTGGGTTCACAGCACCCCACAGATTGCACCATCAATACTGCAGAACAGATCTTGAATTTTATTTTTTTTACAGTGAATGTGACCCCATTCCTGTTCAATTTGTCATTCTTTGTATAGTAGGTCATATGACTGCTGATTGGAAATGACAACCACTCCACGTCAGCTCACTGACGCCTCGGAGATCAATCCTCGAGCATACCATTTCTTTTGAGACAACTTCCAATTGTCTTTGATTCATCATTTGTGCATTCCATATTCCAATCAAGCTGTCTTTTCTCAATTTGAGTCACTCCACGTTCATAAATAAAGGTCCTGGGAGCCTGCTTTATCCACATAACGAGCACAGGCAGCTCTCTTCTCGCTGCAACAGGAGCGGCCTTCCAGCCTGAGGCGCTTGTCTTCCAGCACCACGCCTGGAACACCCTGCTATTTACTTACAAGGTTTCTTTTCAAAAGTAGATCGCCAAGTTCTTCTCAGTCTCTGCCTGAAACCTGCTCACCATGGGTGACCCTGCTGGGATTTAAAACACCAACGGCATAGCTCCAAGCATCACAGCAACACATAAGCTACCACAATATAACACGCTGACCAGCAAGTGGTGGTTTAGGCAAACAGTTTCCCTGAAAGCATCTTGCTATCGTCTTGGATGGAGAATGATGAGACACCAAGAAGTGCCTTCAAAAAAGCAAAAGGTGTGTTGCATTGGGAAAAGAAATTTGCTCTCAAGGCCCTCTTTAAAGTTCTCAAGAGCAAGGATGTCAGCTAAGGACTGACATGCACTTGATCCAAGCCATAGTATTTTCAATTGCTTCTTAGGCATTTGAAAGTTGGACAGTGGATAAGGAAGAAAGAGAATGCACACCCGTGTTTATCACAATAGCAAGGAGTGGGAAACATCCTAAGTGCCCATCAGCAAACGAATGGATAGAGAAGCTCTGGTACATTCACACGATGGAATACTACACTGCATTGAAAAACAAGGAGCTCATGTAATATTATTTGAAATGGGTGACCCTGGAGGACATTATGCTGAGTGAAGTATCTCAGTCACAAAAGGACAAATACTGCATGGTGCCACTGTTGTAAAACGGGACTGACATCAGGGTGGGAGAAGACTGAGAAAGATGGGTTCAATAATGTATACTGCATTGAAACAGATGAGGGAGAAAACTGTTTAAAAGGGATATGTGATTAGGTATTCTTTGTCATGATGGGAGACCAGAGCGAAAGCTGCTTAGTGGAGTGGCCCTAGGGGGAGGGATTATAAAACAATGAAAGACTTTTTCTTTTACTTTTCCAACAGAGGAGTGTACTGGGTGGGGGGAGGGTTGGGAGGGGAGAAAAGTGTGACAATGAATGAATGGAAATCCAAAGTCTCTGTCAATTTTTCACTGAAATTAATAATAAATTTTTTTTATTTTTTATTATTTTTGTGTGCGTGTACCATCAAATAAGATCTGACTGGTACAGGAGGAGATTGTCCCTCCTTCCCTGGCAGAGCATCTGGTGGATTTGAACCATTCGCCTCTGGGATTGTAGTTGCAGCTCCTTGCCACTAGGCCACCAGAGCTCCCCCAATAATAAATTTTTTTTAAAAAGAAGACAGAGAAAGCTCGAGACCTTTCAATAGTGCTGTGGGTAAAGAGTATTAACTAAACCACGATCTGCCAACAGAACAAACAAATCTGGCTGCGAGTGCAACTACGGTGCTCTTTGGAGACTAGGATGGTGAGACTTCATCTCATATATTTTGGGCACATTGACAAGAGGGGCCAGTTCCTGGAAAAAGACATCATGCTGAGAAAAGCAGAGGGTTAGAAAAGAGAGGAAGATTCTCAACCAGATGAACAGACAAGGCAGCCATAGCAATGGCCTTGAACATGCCTAATAGTTCATGAGGACCGTGCAGCACAGGGCAAGACTTCAATCTGTTCTTCACAGAGTCGCTATGAGCACGGCCGATGTTACCTACAACAATAACAACAGAAGGTGCCTGGGAAAGATCGGCTCACCCACCCCCTTTCCCAGAGAGAGGAAGGCAGCGAGATGGTGGCAGAGCTGAGCAGGAAGCCAGGACTTCTGGTTTTCATTTTCTCCCATTGTCCTGCCATCAGGAGGGAGATTGGTTCTCTGTGTTCACTTGAAGGGGGGTTGGGGGGGAGGCTGATAAGAATCTGAGGAATGTAGCTGCTAAGAGCGACTGGCTGTGGAATCTGGCATCTGATCCCCACACAGGACTGCACACCAGCAGGATCCAGGAGTCCCAGGTGAGGAGGACACCTTCTGGGTCTGAGTCATTTCTAGAAAAACGGATCCAGTGAGTACCTGGATCCCACGCCCACATGCAGCAGTCTTGGCGTCTCTAAAGAAATTCACCAATTTTCCCTGCAAAGGGCAGGCGCTGGCGTTGCCAAAGCAACTCAGGACCAGGCGGGATAGACATGGCGTCCCTCATCCGTCCGATCCAGCTGGCAATTGCCTTTTCCTTCTTTTCGGACTTGCCTTTTCTTCCTCCCTCTTGGAAGTCACTCCTCACTTGGGGGCTACTGGCTGATTGTTTGCAGCTCATTAAACCCCCAGCAGGTAGAAGAAGTTGTGGCTTGGCCTCCAGTGACTCTTGCAGCTTTCTGCTAAGAGCTAGGAAGAGATCAGCTGAAGGGGGGGGCGTGGGGAGGGATTCAGATGCTGTGGGAACAGCTGTGTGGCCTTTTGCTGGGCCCTTCACCTCTCTGGGCCTCTGTCTCCGCAGCAGCACACAGAGTCAGAAAGGCAGTGTGGCAGAAAAGAGGGGTGATAAAGGACTTCGCGCTCACTTTGGCAAGGTGTCTTTGCTCTTACGTACAGCCAAGTCAAGTCATTACTCATAGCGACCTTGTGGACAACGGATGTGGACCCTGTCCTGTGCTGAGCTGTCCTCATCATCTCTGACACACTTGAGCCCGTTGCTGTAGTCACATCAATGCATCTGGTTGAGGATTTTCTTCTCTTTCGCCAACCCTTTACCTTGTAAGTATGGCATCCATTTCCAAGGAATAGCCTCTCCTCGCTACATGCCCAAAATATGTGAGATGAAGCTCTGTCATCTTTGCCTCCAAGGAGCACTCTGGCTGCACTTTCTCCAGAACATAGCTGTTTGGTTTTCTGGCAGTCTTTGGGATATTTAACTCTTCCCTCCAACACCACAGCTCAAAGGCCTCAATTCTCCTCCTGTCATCCAAATTCATTATCCAGTTCTCGGATGCATAGCAACTGATGGAAAAGACCCTGGCCTGAATCAAGGACACCTTAGTCTTCAAACTGACATCAATGAGCCTCAGTACTTTGGAGAAGTCCCTGACAGCAGACTTGCCCAACGCAATACCAAGGGTGTTGACTGTAAGATGAAAAACATTGACAATTTCAATCTTTTCTTCATCTATCAGTCAGAGCAAAACTGCCTCTCACTCAAACATCTGACCACTGGAAACCAGGCTGACTGAGAGAATGGACTCTCGTGGCCTCTGGTCAGCAAGGGGCAGGGTTCTACTGTCAAGAAAAGCCTCAGCCTCTGCAGGTAGGCAGTTCTTGTACTCATGCACAACAGTGCCACCTCGCATCTGAAAACTGTTCCCACACCAAGAACGTGGTGACAATTTATAGCAACGCAAAGTCACCTACGTGAGCTGTGCCAAAGGCAGCTGTCCACTGGTGTCCGGGCCGTATAATGGCCAGTTTCCAGAGGGCAGACACCTTGCATTCTTATCTATGTTACTAGCCCCCTGCTAGTAACTAGCACAGGGTATACAGAGCATGTGGTGACTGAACAACGGGAACGGAGATGCAGGGAAGATGTGGGCTGAGGCCTGAGGGACTGTCTGGAAGGAGCAGAGCCTCAACCTCCAGTGGCCTGACTCCCTTTGAACAGCAGGCCACAGCCACAGCCACGGCCACTGGGGTGGGTGTGGCCCCCAACAGTAGTCTGTGCCAGGAAAGCTCACTCCCGTGTCCCCACTGCCTCCCTAGGACCACTCACCCATCTTCCTCGTCCTGCTTAAGCAGGCTCCTCTCTCAAGAGCATGCCACACCCCTATAGGCTTCACACTCTCCTCTTGGGCCCTGTCCCTTCTGTCCACAGCACTCACACTCACGCAGGATACTTGGGGACTCACTGCTGTCTCTGGGGCCTCTGAGAGCCAAACTTACTCGATTTCTACCTCCCCGGCAATGGCTGCCATTGAGAAGACGATAAAGCCTCCGAATGAATGAACGAGGTGAGGTCAGTGGGAGAATTTAACAGACATAACCACGCATGGGAAAGAACCATTCTCAATTCTTACTTTGGACTTTTAGCATATTTTACCATCAGATTATTTCCCAGGAATGCATCTTTGAAATGATAATGAAAGTCAATTAGAAACAGGTGTCTTCAAACAAATATTTGTCAAATATTTGTTTTACCCACTTGTAGGAGTTGTTCACGCTAAATGCCGCAAAGTGTAAGTCACAGATGGGTGTGTGCCTGGTGTGCCTGGCAGTGGGTACATAAAGAGGGACTGGCTCTCTGGCTGGCCATTATCTGACTGGGTTGTCACCCACCTGGCACCCTTGGGCAGCTGAGGGCACAGTGAACAGGTATCAGACCTAAGTCAGGGGCTTCCTTCTCCATCCTCACACCACTTATCCTCACCTGGAAGACAGATGTGACGAAGATAACTTGCTGTGTGGCCCTGGAAAAGTTACTGAACCTCTCTGTGCCTCATTTCTCTGTGCACAAAATTAGGAGAACTGCAGCTTTCAGAGGGAAGCTGTGAGGGTTAAATGATCGCATCTTGAAAAGTACTAGAACAAGGCAGGACGCTTGACAAATTCTCAAGAAATGGCAGCTGGTTTATTACTAATGTGTCTGCCTCCTTGGGTTGTGATTAGGAACCGGGCAGAAAGATGGATTTGAGTGTCCACAGTATCCTGCTAACACTACACATCTTGTCATCTCTGATCGCTAGAATCGTTAACTGTCTGGAGAGAATGGATGGTGGTTACACGAAAGAGCTCGTACAGAGGAATTCGCCAAGCTGTACACGTAAGATTGCTCACTTGATTATATTTAAGCTAGACTTCACAACCTAGATTTTATAAGAAATGTTAATATTGATGTTGTTGTTGTTATGTGCCATCAAGTCGCCTGTGACTCACCACGACCCTATGGACAACAGCTCTGAACCCTGCTCTATCCTGAGCCAAGCTTATTGTCTCTGACACACCTGCCCCTCATTACCCCAGTCACTGAGTCAATCCATCTCATCGAGGGTCTTCCTCTCTTGCGCTGTCCCTCCACCCTTCCAAGCATGCTGTCTCTCTTCAAGGATTGGTCCCTCCTCGCAACATGCCCAAAATATGTCAGACAGAGCTTCAGAATCCTTGCCTCTAAGAAGCAGTCTGGTTTTACCCTCTCCAGGATGAACCTGTTTGTTCTATTAGCAGTTCAAGGTACGTATATTCAATACTCTTCTCCAGCACCACAGCTCAAAGGTGTCAATTCTCCTTCTATTGTCCCTAGTCATTGTCCAGCTTTTGATGCATAGCAAGTAATTGCGATACTATGGCCTGGATCAGGCACACCTTAGTCTCCAGACTGACATTATTGCTCTTCAGTCCTCTGGAAATATCCCTGACAGCAGACCTGCCCAATGCAATTTGCCTTTTGATTTCCTGGTTGTTGGCACCAAGAATGTTGATTGTGGAGCCAAGCAAACTAAGGCTGTTAATAATCTCAGTATTATCACCATCTATCATGATGCTGCTAACTGGCTGAGTTGTGAGAATTTTTGTTTTCTTGTTGTTGAGCTTCAATCTATATTGAAGGCTGCAGTCTTTGACCTTCTGCAGCAAGTGTGTCAGGGTTAGGGTTAAGGGATTCATTAAGTCCAAATTGACTTGATCGCAGTGGGATTGGGCCAGACTGCCCTTAGCCTAATGCAATTCCTTGGCCCCCTTTGTTCTCAAGATGATTAATGGCAGATGACCTGGGGCAGCCCACCTTCCCCTCACCTTTTCTTTCTCATCTGGCAACTTCCCAGAATCCTTCAGGCCCCATGGGGCTGACCACAAGAAAGGAGTGACATCACCAGAGAAGAATTACAGCTCTGTCCCAGGCAAGCAGTGGGAGAGACAGTTTCAAGTTCTTGATTTGTGTCTGCAGAGCCATTCTCCCCTCAAGCCCCACTGATTAAAGCGCTTTCCTCCTGAGGAACCCTGACAGACGAGGCGGTTCCCACAGAGGCCCCAGGAGGAGCAGCGACTTCCGCTCCTGAGGCCTCCCCACCCTCCCCCGCCCTGGCCCAGCAGCCTCTATTTGTTTGTGGGTTCCACCACTGGATCAAAACAGAAAATTAAACCCATCTCAAGTGCAGGATGCCCTGAACTGGGCCACCCAATGGGTCACACATGAAAAAGAGGAAAACTAATGGCTTGCAGTTTTCCTACCAGCAAGGTTTCTTTTAATCAGTCCTGTGGTGGGCTTTGCTGGGCTTTGGGTTAAAATTCCTGAGGATAAGGTTTTCTCTCCTCCAGAAGAGACCTCACAGCGGGGCGTCTGGAGCCATCGGGAGTGAGGTCTGGAAACTCACTTTTAGGATGACAGAAAATTCCAGCAACAACCAAGAAAGCCTTGAAGGTTTTGACTTTCTAGTTCTCCAGAACCCTGGAAGTCAAGATAACGCTGAAGAAGGCTGTGGTCCCGATGGCTTAGTCTCTTACCATTGTGTAACAGGTCACCATGCGCTTAATGGCTTGACATGACTTTATTTTCTTATGATTGTGAAGGACAGAAGTCTGAAACAAGCATTACTGGATTAAAGGAAGATGTTGGCAGGGGTGGCTCCTCTGACAGCTCTGAGTGGAGAATTTGCTTCCTCATATTCCTGTGTCATTTCTATGTCTATTTCTAGTGGCCTCCCTCATGGCTTGGCTCTTGGGCTCTACCTCCATCGTTGGCCATCTTGCACCTCCCACTCCACCTCACTGCCGTCCTGCCTCCCTCTCTACCAGGAACATATGTGATTAAACTGGCCACTCCCGCATAATTTCTCCAGATCAAGATTCTGTGGAAATCATATCTCCTAAGTCCCTTGACCAGGTAAGGGGACAGACAGAGGTTCCAGAGGAACAGAGGAGCATGGGCATCTTCAGGTTGTCCAGTAAGTGGCCAGGCTAAACCCAGCTAGACCTCACCTGGGTGGGCCCCACTGCAGAGGGGGGCATGGAGCACGAAACTTCCTCATCCTTTCTTATTCTCAGACATTCCCAAATGCCTAGATTTGGAAACATACCCCTAGCTGGTACAATAAGCAACTGATTAAAGCAACTGGTCAAAAGAATGATGCAGAAGGAACCTCTAGATAAGGGCTCTCAGCTGTGCCCGACCTGTTGTTCTCAGGGCAGCCTGGCCTGTTCCCACCAGCGCTTTTAATTCCTGCACCAACGTGTCCACCCATGCCCAGCCCTTCTCCTATCTCTGCTGTGAAACCCACATCAACTCCTCTTGCCACTCCTTCCCCAGCCGTTTACATCCACAGCCTCATATGCCTACCCTCTGCCCGCATGGGCACCTCCATCCCCAGCCACAGATGCAACATCCGGCAAAGCATGGCGGGGACATCTGCACCCCCGTCCTCAATCCTTCCTCATTCAGCCTCCAGCCTCCCTCCTCCAAAGGTAGAAGAGTACAGTGGTTAAGGGCAGGGGTGCATGTGCCAGAGAACCTGGGTTCAAATCCCGGCTCTGCACTGACTACCTGTGTGACCCAGCGCACACCCACCTACCTACCCTCGCTGTGTCTCACCTTCCCTAGCTGTAAATGGGGATGAGAATGGCACCTGACTGGAAAATGTCTGGGCAAGGAATAAATAAGTCCATGTGTATCATACCTGTAGGAAGCGTTAACTGTCTGCCCTTGTGCTGATGAGGCTTCAGACACAGCAGTGACCTCAGCAGGTGTTCCCTAAGCCCCTGTTATCATCTAACAGTGAACACAGATCTTAAGCAAGTATTTGTCTATCTTAGTTCATTAGTACTACTTGCTATAACAGAGGTACCCTGAGCAGATGGCTTTAACCAGCAGAAATTTAGCTTTCCACAGTTTAGGAAGTGAGCAGTTTGAATTCAGGGTGTCACCTTTAGAAGGTTTATCTTTCCGTGTCAGTTCTGGGAGATGGTTCTTGTCTCCTTCCAGCACCTGTGGGCCCGCTATTCCTTAGAGACTGCCCTGTGTCTTGAACTTCCCCTGAAGCTCGGAGTGTCTCAGTCCAGGGACCCTGGATCCAAAAGCCACTCTCTGCTCCTGCTCCTTCTTCCTTGGTAATCACGATAATTATCAAGGTGAAGATGAGGTCCCTCATATCTCTGCTTGTTTTTCTCTCTTATATAATAAAAGAAAAGAGCTCTCGTAGCCTACCAGGAAAGAAGCTGTGTTGCAATCCCAAAGGCACACAGTTCAAGGCCACCAGCTGCTCCACAGAAGAAGGATGGGCAGTCTCCTGTGCGATTTACTGCCTCTGACAGCAAGCGGGAGGGTCAGCTATGGGGTTCTGACTCAAGGGCTCCCACCGACAATCACATGATGAAAGATGGTGCAAGCCACGCCCCAGGAAAATTCTCCTTAGATCAGATCAGGCCTGGCACCTAAGGGTGTTGCAGCCGATCCTAATCCCTCTACAGCCAATGGACCCATGACATCAGATCACACCATGGGAGATGACTACATCATCACATAAGTGCCAAATGACTTCTTTACATCATGTCAAACCACGGAGAATCATGACTTGGCCAAGCTGATATATATTTTGGAGGAAGATAATCCAGTGATATCAGCTAAATCATGAATTGCTGCATTAAAACTATGGACAGCGGTAGGACCTGCCCCAGTCTGAGATCTGCATGGATCCACACCAGTTGATGTGACCACTCCCACAAAGTCCTGCCCTCCCTCATTCTGATCGTACACACAGCACAAGCAGGCTGCCCAGGGTAGGATGTTGGGAAACCCATTGCAAGCAGCACGATCGTGTACATGTCCCGCCACATCCCTCAGCTGTCCTCCTGAGGGTAACAGGGCCTGCCCCTGTGTCTAACAGCTCAGTTCTTTAAACACACAACACTGCAGAATGGGGGAAGTACAGGAGGATGAGCAGAGATTTAACTAGAAGATTCAACTCTCCTCCCTGAAATCTCTCAGTCCTCAATACACACAGCACATGCCTACGGGTGGGTCAGGACCCCAACCCAGAACAAATCCACAGCCAGAATCCCCTGCAGACCCAGGGCTTTCCCCACAGGGGGGTGAGTGACAGCCCCACAACCCCACGCTCCCAGAGAAACTTCCAACTTATACTGGAACCAGGTGCCCCAGAGGCTAACAACCCTGTTTTTCTTCACCATCTGCTCTGACTCGGAGGGCTGGGGGCGCTCTCCATCCCCCTTCCTTCCTCCTGCTCAGATGAGGTTTCTGTTACAACAGCCAGGCAGCCTCCTGACCTCCTCACAGAAGGCTTTCGTTAAACAGGTCAAGCCAGAGAGGCAGGGGGCAAAGGGCACAGGCCAAAGGGGAAATGCTCTCCAGATTAGGGAAGGTGGGAGTGGCAGAGCATTGGGGTCTGTGGGAGGGCTGGCTGAGAAGTCTCCCACACTTCTGACAGCCCAGGAAGTCCTGGCCTCAGCTTCCTCAGGGTCCCCCAATCCTGAGACCTCCCCAGATATTTACCCTGAAGCTTTCTCCACATTCCCACTTCAAAGGGAAAAGCAGGATCCTAGAGCTGGTGGCCACTGTGGTTCCCTTAAAAGTAGCTTCCAGAAAGCTGGCCTGGTGGGAACAAGCAGAGACTAAGCGCCCCACTCCAGCATCCCTCAAAATTACAGACATGACCTAGAGGCTGGTTGACTGCCTCGGTTTCCCAGAACGGGCAGGGTCATACGTTCATTTATCTGCCTTTACTAGTCCCGGGCCAGGTCCGAGGTTGTCTGCACCAAAGACTGGGCTGAGGGATGTAGCCCCAGACATGCTGAATCTTTGTTCTCAGAGGCTGTCTAAACCCCCTTCCCAAATATGAGGTCCTGGAAGGGGTGGTCTTGGCATCAGAGCCACTTCATAGCACTCAATGAGCCCTCAGAGCAAGTTCAAGGCTGAACTCCCTGTACACAGTAGCAAAGGCTTCCCACGCTCAGGACCTTTGCGGAGAGACCTTTGTCTTGCTTGCTCATAAAAGCCTTCTTTGCTCAATACAATAAATGATTCTCCTAATTTAAAAGGGTACACTATTACCAAGGAGCTCTGGTGCTGTAGTCCACTGTGGTTTGTACTGTTTTTTTAAAAAAATAAGAAGCATATTATTAAATAAATGGTTTCACCAGAGAGACAAGAAAGGCATTTCTACGCGGCCAGGAGTGATAGAAGGTGAGAGTTCACAGGCTGGGTTTAGGGATCCCTGCAGCCTTGCCTGGCGCTGAGAAGGGTGGTGAGGTATGGGAAGCCAAATTTCATACAAAATATTTGTAATAAAACAGACTGCTACTTCAGGTACTGAGGGAGGCTGGTTTCAGCTGGAATTAATCCTGAGGCACTAAAGCAATCCTAAAACGTTTACAGGATTGTTGCTTTGTATTTGCTGACCCCTCCCTCCTGAGTCAAGCAGAAGGTTTTCAATAGAAAGAGCTTAGCTTCACCTGCATTGGATTCTCTTTGTAATTTGCTCCCTGGCAATTTTCAATACAAACAGGGAAAGCTGGAATCTGCGTCAGTTTGCTTCAGTTGTTCGAGGCCTGTTTGCCTCCTGCTTTATCTCTGTTCTTCTCCTACATTCCTGGTGTTCTGTCTCATTATTAATACTTGTAAAAATACTTTACCCTCGGTCCGCAACAGTGAGGTAAAGAGGAGGCCCTGGTGGAAAGCTTGGACCTCTGCAAGGCTTGGGGCAGAAGTAGGCAGAGGGATGTAGAAACAGCTCAGACTTTGATTTCCTAACTTTGAATATTCACGACGGTAACATTCTAGTCACCATTTCTCAGAACACTTCTGGAGGATGGATATGCTTCATCAGAAATGAGGACGTAAACCAGAAATACTGGTGCTCCAGGATCCAGGAGATCAGGTGCAAGACTTGGCACTAAGCCCCCAGGATGTAGCTAGAGAGTGATGGATGCAAAGATTGTAGCGTTCAAGCCGAGGTGGGCCAGCTCTCAGCAGACAAGAAGGCCCACAGAATAGTATCTCCAAGGAAATGAAAGTGGAAGAATATCAGATGCCTTAGAACATATTAGGACAAAACTTTACAGCAGCGGGAGAAGCTGGAGATGAACTAAGAATAACAACAGGGAGCGAGGCAAGCGATACCAAGCAGGGTAAACAGGTGCGGAGGAAACGTCGTCTGACTGCATGGCTTCTGAGTGATATCGGTGTTGGAAACGTAAGTGCAGAAAGGAGAGGAGGGTAAGTGAACCTTCCCGAACCCGTCTCACCTGAGAAGTCAGTAGTTGGGCGGGGCAAAAGGCTTTCTTTGGCTTTTGTCTCTGGTATCCCAAAAATAGCCCTTGGAATAGTTTGTGCAATTAAGATGCTCTGTTTTCTGAAACAGCCAGGACACACTTAGACACATGCAAATAAGGGCCTGCTTTGGCAACAGGCCTCTAGAATACAAGGGGCCATGATCCAGTCATGCATACTAATGATGGAACTGACCATCGCTTTGCTTTTTTTTTTTTTTAAAATCACTTTGCTTTGAGGAAAGTGGTTTAGTGGTAAGGAGTTGCGCTGCCAATCCAAAGGCACCTGCTTCAAATCCACCAGCTGCTCCAAAGAAGAAAGCTGGGCAATCTCCTCTCATGTGATTAATTGCCTCTGAAAACCCACTGGAGGGGTCAGCTCTGGCCAGTTCTGACTCAATGGTGCACAACACCACCACCACACATTAAGGTTCCTTTTTAGCTCTTTTGGAGAAGTCTTTTGAAGCACTTAAGGATTTCATTTTTAGAAGGTCCCAATCATCTAGCTTACCCTCTGCTGATTATGCAATCTTGTTCCATTTGATCGCCTATTTATGCTATAAATTAAGGCTCCTAAATTGGCTCCATTTTTTTTTCTTTGATCTTTATAGTTTTAAGTTTTACACCTAGGTCCTTGATCCATGTAGAATTAGGGTTTTTTTTTTAAATGTGGTATAAGATATGAGTCTCGTTTCAATTTTCTGCAGATACCCATTTTTACCATCATTTGTTAAAGAGGATATCTTTAGGGGAGCTCTGGTGGCCTAGTGGCAAGAAGCTGCAACTACAATCCCAGAGGTGCACAGTTCGAATCCACCAGATGCTCTGCCGGGGAAGGAGGGACAATCTCCTCCTGTACCAGTCAGATCTGATTTGACGGTACAC